CGATCATGGATGATCGATGATCGACGGCCAGAGGGCCATCCCAAATTCAAAAAAAAAAAAAACAGGCCTCACGGGCCCGATGCGCCGTTTTCTCGGCATGGTCGGACCTGGTAGGCCCTGGGGAGGCGAAATCTCGCCGATTCGGCGTCGGAAACCCCCCGCCAACAAGGTGTGCTGGGGGGCCCCGGCCCCCAACCGGGCCACCCGCCCGGTCAGGGCGCCGGTGACCTCCCCCAGGCAGGCCCCGGTCGGCCGGGCGACCTGGATCCGTATGCAGATAATAGTATAAATGATAAATAATAAAAGGTGTGGAAAAAAGTAGGATAATAAGTGGCAAATTATGGGTGCACGGTGAAGAGGGCAGTTTTGGGGCTTGTTATTGGGAGAGGCTGGCGAGAGGTGATGGTGTGTGGCTGGTTAGAGTGAAGAAGGGTGGAGATTGAGATTTGGTCGTGGGAATGGTGGGGGGTTGATGAGAGCAGGGCATGAGGGTAGGAGGAGAGGGTGGGAGACTGAGTGATGCTTGAAGGCTAGGGGCAATGAGGGGGAGTGACGGGGGGGAGGTGGGGGAGTGTGTTGTCTGCAGGGTTCGATTGGGCTGGGGATCGGATTCGGCGATCGAATGGGGGATGGGTTCGGAGAGAATTCCGGAACTAGGGAGGTGCTGGGAGTTGACGGAACGGGGATTGGGATGGTGAGGAATAGGGAGTCACTGGACGTGGGGTAAGAGGTTGGGAGTAGAGAGGGAATGTGGGGAGATCGTGTAGAAAGGTGAGGGGTAGGATGGCGCGTTGGTGTTTTAACTTAACCTACTTCGTGCCAGACTTCAGTGACAATCGAATCTCTAACGCTTGTGATAACTCAATGACTAGTGTTTCAATCTACACGTCCTTGTTTTGTCCACTAGTTTTCTCCTGTGCTCACCGGTTATAGGGTAAAGACGTCTCTGAAAAGCTTACCTTTATTTTCTTGAAGGGAGTTGTTCACACCTTGTAAGTCAACATGATGGCGAACTTGGTCATATCTTGTGCCTGTATTTCTCCCTTGCATGGAACTTTCCTTGTTGTCGATGTCTTCGCCTCCCTCTTCCCTTTTTAGTAAGTGTGTTCAACTCTCTTCTCCTAACTTGCGCCTTACTCCTGTCTTTTCCCCAACATAGTATTCCTCTTCCTCCTTCCCCTTCTTCCCAATACAATATTTTCCCTTCTCGTCTTTTCTCTTGTGTTTCTATTCTCCTTGTCCGGATCTGGGCCGTCACTCCCGTAGGTGTGGCGTCATGTGACGACTGTTTCTCGCCACTTAACTCTTTGCCTTTCTCACCCGAAGTGAGTTCCCTCCATCGCTTTCTGTAGCTCAATTATGTTGTCTGTCTTTTTCCGACTTTGAGGGATCTCCTGTCTTGTCTTAGTTATTGCAAGGTTCATCACTTGCTGGAGTGCATCAGATCACATGCATATACACAGATTTCACAGATTGCGATGTCTCACACAAAGCCCAATAGAAAATGAATGAGAACCAGGAAGCTCAACTCAATTATCAAACCCAGAATTAGAGAGAGAACATCATGAGTTCAAAGTGTACAGCGCCAAACAAAGTTACAAGTCTTCTTCAATCAACATGAACTCCCAGGCCTGGCGCTCGTCAGCACCAGCTGCCTAACGTCAACAGTGCCTCAACAGGTAGGTATCACCATAGCTCACTCCTCCCCCTCTCTCATTTGCTTTCTTCTCTCTCTCCCTCTATGTCTTTAGTCCTGGTCTACTCACACTCTCCACGCATGCACACTCCCTATCACACGAGGATCTACTCTGAATACTACTCACTGGTGTCTCCTACGGACTATCCCTACTAACATACTAACTAGCGCTGGCGCAGCTATGGCTGCCTTCTATCCAGCCAGCGCTCATTTCTTCTTTCACACATAGCGCTGCTCTTCAGCTCAGCGGTGCTCACACTCAACCAGCGCACAAGTTCCACGGCACTTCCACACTTGATGCGAGATGAGCATCTAGTGGACTGGCGAGGCTTAACTCGGCCTCCAAGCGTCTGGGACTCCCGCCCAGTACCAGTTGTTGCAAAGTGTGTGTCCCAGTATCTTTTCCCATGGTCTGCTGCTGCTTTGGGCCATCGGCCTGTCTTTTGGACTCCTGGTCTGAAACAGGACTGAGTGATGGGATTATGACTGGACTGGGACTGTGGCCCTTGACACATTGCCGAACAGACATGACTTCCCATCGAGGAGACATGACCCTTACTCAGTCCTGAAAACTGTGTCCAATACCTATTCGTGCAGGACCTGTTTGTGACTGTTCAAAACGACTTTTCATTTTATTATGGATGCGACATTTGCCGTAGGAACTTTGTCCTTTGGGTTGCTGCTCGTGAATTGAAGTTCTAGCCGACAGGGCCCCTCGCTGTTGGGGCATTCATCTGGGGTTTAATTCGTAAAGGCCCTTTTATTATGATGAATGTGGACCTTTACTCTCGTTGTATTAACTTCTCTTCCTCATCCTCCCCTTTCCCTTAACTGACTCTTCCCCTCTCTTCCTCCCTTCCTCTCATTAGCCACTCATGCTCTTGCCAGGCTCTTCGAGGCCACGCCTGGAGGAGTGGCGATGAAGTCCCCGCCACTTTCGACCACTCGTTTCCTCGAAATCGAAATGAAGAATCGTGCGCGTTCGCGCGCGGCGCATGGAAAAGTTACTGTGGTGCTGGCTCGTGAATTAGCGCTGGTGCGTTAGAGCTAACCGGCTCGGCGCTAGCGCTCAGTCCGTGCAAACTTTCAGGTAGTAAGCATCTTCTCCGCTCCAGTCTGCAGTACGGTTCCTATTTCATCGGCAAGTCAGATAAACTAAAGATTACCTACCACAGGCTACCACACACTTTCCGTCGGGAAACCCTTGGTTACTCCTTTGTGGAGGATTGACTGCTAGATACACCCACACCTCTTATCAATTCCCCTCCCCCAACCTGCTACCCCTTCCAACAAACATACTGAAAACCAGAATCAATCTGTTCCGTGCAGCCTGCATTGGCTGCCTGATAATTACTGCAGTGCAAGAATAGATCTTCCTGGATTCCTTGCAACAGCCTGCACTTCTGGCACGGCTTGTGCGAAACCAATCTCTATTTCCTGCTCCTTGAACAATGTGCTTCGGACTGCTTCCCATGATGTCCATCTCCTACTCATTGCTATGGACTGGGCCACCTAAAAACCCAGATCCCCCGAACTGGAAATTCTCCCATAATTTGGAGATTACTGCGATGATTTCTTTTCTAATCGCTACTTTTCCATCTGCTAGAATCTTCTTATAGAAGAGCTGTTCGATTTCTGATGCCTGTTCAGGTTCCATCTCAATCTTCAACGGTCTTTCTCCACAGTGCTGTGAGTCCCATTTCCACATGCTGTTGGATCGAACGCCCCCATCTTTTTTTTTTTTTTTTTTTTTTTTTTTTTTTTTTTTTTTTTTTTTTTTTTTTTTTTTCTTTTTTTTTTTTTTTTTTTTTTCCGCCCCCCCCTTTTTTTTTTTTTTTTTTTTTTTTTTTTTTTTGAACACTCCCATCTCCTGTGTTGCCATCTGCGTTTTCTCTGTTCTTTCCGGGCACGTCTCTTTTTCGGAAGTTTTTCCACACCGTGCACAGTGTTGCTTTTCTTCAGAGTTGGAAGATATTGGTTTCAAAGTTAGGGCAATCTTTAGGGCTATGAATTCTTGTTAGATGCCGCACTGGATCTTTAGGTCGTGTTTTTTTTTGTTTTTTTTTTGAATTAATGGCTAGGCTACCAGAGTGGCCGGGGTCCACTTGCCCGGCTGGGCCAGAAAGAAATTAAAATATATATATATATATGAGACTATGAGTCGGTGAAACTCCAACGAAACAGTTCGCCAGCCCCTCGTTTGTTGTCCTCTTCTCCCTCTCTGCCTACGGTTTACCGGGCAGCTCTGTTTGACTATATATATAATATTAATATTATATTATATATATTTTTAATTTAACTTTTTAAGTTTTTATTTTAAATTTGGTAAATATTTTCGATGTAACCTTGAGGCAAAAGTTGTTCCGTTTATTTTTCTGCATAACATAGTTTTTTTTTTCGCTTTTCTTTTCTTTTTTTTTTTATTCTTTTTTTTTTTTTTTTTTTTAACGCTAGGTCCTGGTCCTTGCACGGCCGGGCTGCCCGGGAAAATAGGGTGACCCGGGCGGCCCAGCTGGTAGCCTAGATTAATGGACAGAATCTAGTACAATGATGGCGATTTCAGTTGCTCACTGATCCAAGTCCCTGATGACCTCAGACAGCTCAGTCACTAGATAGGGTGTGTGAGCGGCAGAATGCCTTTGTGTGAGGGGGTTACGCAGGATGGTGTGTGTTGCCTGGAGGAGGCTGTAAGGGAGACATCCGGCTTGAGCAACCACCATCAATGGGAGAGGGGAGGGGATCACTTTGACTAACTGCCACTCAAACAAACACTCTTACCCATCAGCCTTTGTCTCCTCCACACTGTGCGCACATCAACCCTCATCGCGCTTGACACGCAACCCTGAGACGGCCTGCTCAAGCTGGAGGCCTCCCTGACAACCTCCTCTACATCACACACAACATCCTGCGTAACCCCATCACCCACAGTCTCTCACCGCTGTCTCCAAGTCAGCCAAGCAATTGTTGGAATACCTCCCCCTTGTCTCTCCTCGGTTGAGAAGGTGGGCTCCGATGGAGAATGCCTGGTTGTCAAAGTGCTCCTGTCTCACCAGAATTCGCCCTTTCATTCTGCGAACAGGACAGTAGTGTGGACCATATCGGATATCCTCTCACATAGTGGGAAGGCTAGAAAAGGGATGCATTGAATTCAGGGCAATGAGTTCAGTCTGATAATTTAGCTGCACAAACGGTTTGTGAAGATTGTGGAATATCTCAGTTCAAAAGCCGATAGTGCTTTTATATGCTTAGTGTGCAAAATCGGTTGTAATCATTGTGGATAGGTCGCAACGCATGTATTTTGCAGGTTGGAGCGGCGGCTGCTTTTGGCGCTCTCATCGGTGTGGGCGAAGGGTGGAACAAGGCTTCGGAGTTTTATGCCGGGTAGCGCCGAACCCCAACATACCACATGTCTGTCCAATTTGCAAATCGTTGTCTTTTGGAGCCCTTCCCTGCCTTTATCCTTCTTCGCCTCCCTCTCCCCTCTCTTTCCCATGTTGCTCTTTGTCCTCAAACCATCCTGAAGGCCATGTCCAGATGTGTGGGGAATGTGTGGATGATAGCCTGTATTGCTGTGTGCTGTGATGACATTAATGATTAACATCATTAATGATTAACCTCAATTCTTTCAAAATTTTCTAATGAATTGAAATTTGACATTGATCAGCATTACTACTATTACAGGATCGGAGGATTCGTAATACTTTGGTATGTCACTGATTGAGATGCAATCCAACAGAGCATCAACATTTTCCCATACGCATGCCCGATAACAAAGCAGACTTGGAGAGGGAATTCACACCACACCCGACACGAGATATGCACAGCGCAAGCTCAACACTCAAGAAGAATTGAAGAAAATATCAATTTTTTTTCTTCAATTCCCAGTATCTCGCCTCTCTCCAGCTCGATCAGTTCCACAAGAACGCAAGAATCTCAACCGAGAATAAACCACCTTGACCAAACTCAGAACGTAGCTTCAACAGGACCTTGGAGTGTTCTTCCTCCCTCCGACTCCAACCTCCTATCGACCGGCTATGGCGCACAGCGCAGAGCGGCAGCGCCCAGTCCCAAATCCTGCAGAACGCCAGCGCCTCCCTCCCGCAGCCTGAGCAGCCCCAGCGCCCTCCCAAAATAACTCGGATTCTGCAGCGCTGAGTCAGAGACCTCCCAGGATGAACAGCGCGAGCTCCAGGACGAGGAAGGAACCTCCAGCTTGAAGAAGAAGAAGAACAGATGCCATGAAGAAGAAGAAGATATGGTAGCGCCTAACCCCACCACTCAGATAAGCTGTCGCCAGGTCCAGCAGATGAAGCGCCTGCTTCACTGCTGCCTCCAACCCTAGCAGGGGCTTCCCATCTAAAGCGCTGCTCCGGCAGCTTGGCACCGCCAACACAAACTTCAAACAGCCGTTCACCATTTAACCCTTCAGACCGACTGTACTTATATATTCTACGCTAACCTACTGGACCCGACTTCTAGGCCCCCTTCTATTCTGGGGGGCGTCAGTCCGGTCACTTATCACCCCGGCAAGCATGTTTTGTACAAAACCAGTAGTGGGGATAAAAGATAAAAGAAGAGGGTCAGCCTAGCTAGCCCTTGTGGCCCTAGACACCTAAGCAAGGGGGGGCTGCTACGGAGCCCCCCCCCCCTCCCCCCCAACCTTGACCCCTCTACGGGGGTGGTTCTACTCGTCGGGAGGCTTACTAGCAGCACTCAGGCATGCAATAGCACAGCCCACTGGGGGGCATGGTGCAGGAGGGGGGCCGTTTCCGGCAGTCCATCAGTCCGCTTACCAAGTCCTCAGTTGCTTCCCCCCTCCCCCCCAACCTTGACCCCTCTACGGGGGTGGTTTTACTCGTCGGGAGGCTTACTAGCAGCACTCAGGCATGCAATAGCACAGCCCACTGGGGGGCATGGTGCGGGAGGGGGGGCGTTTCCGGCAGTCCATCAGTCCGCTTACCAAGTCCTCAGTTGCTTCTTTACATGTCTAAAGTCATATCCAAATCATACCTGCATCACTTTCTACTTCCTATCTTTCCCAATCCCTTTCCTAATCTTGGCAACTTCCTCTAAGACACAACTAACAGTTATGGGTCTGTGTTTTCCCAGTAACAAAAGTTCCAGTCTGAGGCAGTTATCAAGCAGCAGTCCATTGAGGCCTGAAATGAAGTTCCGGGCCATGAGTACTCATTTAGCAGGAGTTTAGGAGGGATTTTGCAGAAATGCCCCCGTCGGTTTAGGCGTGTTTCGCAAGAGTGTCCTGGTTAGTCTTACAGCCTGCTGAGAAACTGCAAGAACATTGCAACTTTCCCGGAAAAAAAAAAAAATAATAAAAAAATCGTAAGGTCTCAGAAGGTCCCGTCAAAAGCATAACACTGGGTAATGCTCCCAGGCCCGGTCTTTATGTGGGGAGGCCGGCCCCTCTTTCTTTGAGCTGTCTCTTATACACATCTAGATGTGTATAAGAGACAGCTCTCTCTCTCTCTCTCTCTCTCTCTCTCTCTCTCTCTCTCTCTCTCTCTCTCTCCCCCTAGCCCAGCCTAGGCTATGGCTGTACCAGCTATGGCTGGCGGCTTGCCTCTCTCTGGTGCTGGTTTTCCCTCCACTGGCACTGGCGGCTGCTGCTGCTGCTGTCTGCTCACACTGCTAGCCAACAGCATCTCACTGACCAAGGGGCCAAATGCTGGCCCCCACTCTCTCTCTGTGTAGGCAGGCTGACATCCCTACAGGACCAGTCTGATCGGCCTCTGGGAAAATCCGGCGAGGCCGTGGTTCACCGGTACCCTGGTTGCCAGGGGCGGTACTGCTACTCAGCTAGCCCCGCTGTTCTGGACTGGCCGTGCCAAAAACTGCTTTTGGCCAAAGTTAAGCCTAACGGCCCTTGACAGGCTCCGCAGACCCCCGTGTTTTCACACACGGGTTGAGATTTGTAGATGCAGTCATCCTGGTAGCTCTGTGTTAACAGCAGCTATCACTGCAAGCACTTCAAATTTAAACCAACAGTACCTTTCCCTGCTTGAAAAACAAATGCCCGCTGGTTAACACGGGAGGCGGGCAGGCTCAGGACTACCGGCGCGAATTGTCTGGTGGCGCTGCTGTGCGACTTACTTGCAAATGTGTATTCTCTGTATGGTAAAGCCTAATACATCAATGATTTGAAATGAAAAAAATTCAAAAATATGTTGTGTTTCCCGCCGGTCGTGGTGAGCTGCACCACTACTCCGCAGTATGGAGGTGGCGTGTTCGTTTTTTTTTTTTTTTTTTCCTTTTCAAAAATAACCTTCTGTCGAGGGGTATCAGTCGTGGGGTAGTCGACAGCAGAAAAGCGCTGTGATTGCAAGCTATTTGCATCACATTTAGACAAATACCACAATCTGATCCGAGCTACGAGCTGAGACTGAAGGGCTTCCCCCATGAATTTGTCATGAGGGTGCGGAAGTGCTTCGCCAATGGCCGTGATGAATCCTGAATGCAAATTGTAGAGTGGTTAGATTGTTCTAGCTGATGAGGATGGATTGACTATGGATGTGTACAAATGAAAGGGGACTAGCGAAATATGACACGAAGGTACAGTCAAACCTGTTTTGTGTGGTGTGGTGTGGTGTGCGTGTGCGTGTTTGTACTGTACTGATTTGCCTAGAGGCCTAGTTGTTAGATAGTACAAGTATTTTTTGGTCTTTTGTTGAGTAGGATTCACAATGCTTAGAACAATGACGTGAGTAATTTGACTTTGATTGCTTGGTATAATCCGGATGCTGTTTTGAGTGGTGTGGTGTGAGTGAGTAATATTCGTTCAGTATCTGTAACTCTGAAAGAGTTTCAAGTAGTTCGAACTCCGAAGCTAAATGGATATGAGGTATTTATAATTTTATATGCAGGCATTGCAGGGGGATAATCTGTCAGGTTATTTTGGGATAGGGTCCTAGCAGGAACGGTGTCGGGTCTGTTTGAAAGTTGTCTGGAATTTGGGCATCGCCACACCACTCTCGAAATGTGCAAAATGAGAATGAACTTCCGGCTAAAACATGGCCGGATGCACCCGCCACGTTTTTGTCTTTTTCACATTTCGAGAGCGGTGTGGCGAGGCCCTTTGTTACATTGACGGGCAGAGGTCTCAAACCTGGGACCGGTCAGAAGAATAATTCTGGTCCGTTTTCCAATTCTTGATTGGACCTTTATTTTTTGAGACGGGAAGGTTTCGAACCTGAGACCGGGTAGTGGGGTTTGGAAGCTTGTCCACTTGTGCTTTCTAGTACCTGTAGGCCTTTGATTCAAACAAGAGGACCGTGTGAAAGGACCAGTCAATTTGGAACTGTGTGGGACTGGTTCTACGGGAATCAAACAGACAGGACGTTAGCGAGAGCAATGTCCGATGCTATTAATGGAAATGATCGAGTCATAGGCAGTCCTTTTGGGTCCGACGTCAACACGCTCCGCCGTCTCCGGAGATGGAAAGAGGCAGTAGCGACGGTGGCAGGAGCGAGGGAAGATGGTATTGCTGAGGGAAGAAGTTTAGGGGGTAAGCCCCCTGAGGAGGACCGCTTTGGCAGCGGTCAAAAGCGCTTTGGCAGCGTGTCAAAACCGCTTTGGCAGCGTGTCAAAACCGGTCGGTTTTTGTTTACTCTGACAATCAGTGTACTGTGTGATTTTCGGAGTGTGCACTATCGTTGTGAGTATGTGTTCTGGACTTTCACACCCTCTATCTCCACCTGGAGAAACTAGAATGTTAACTCTGCTGTTCCTTTTCTTTTTTCTGTTCAAAAAGTTGAAAAAAAAACTTCCTGTCCTGGAGAAATTAGAATGGTATCTCTGCCCAGAGAGAGAGAGAGAGAGAGAGAGAGAGAGAGAGAGAGAGAGAGAGAGAGAGAGAGA